TTTGTCCACACATACAGCCAAGTTGTCTTTGCCAGGGATGACTACTGAGGCTGAAAGGAGGGATCATAAGCAACAAACCCTTCCAAAGTCACGTGTGTAAAGATCATAACTTTAATTTCTACATCTTGGATATGTCTACTCTTCTACATCTATGCCATTAAAAAAAGAAAGAATCAAGCCAGATGGGGGTGGTCCCCCATTTTCCATTTGTCTTAGTTTATTTTTTTTGTTGCTATAACTGAATACCACACACTAGGTTATTTATTTATTTATTTATTTTTGAGACAGAGCCTTAAGCTGTCACCCTGGGTAGAGTTCTGTGACATCATAGCTCACAGCAACCTCCAACTCCTGGGCTCAAGCGAGTCTCCTGCCTCTGCCTCCAAAGTAGCTGGGACTATAGGCTCTTGCCACAACACCTGGCTATTTTTTGGTTGCAGCTGTCATTGTTGTTTGGGGGGCCTGGGCTGGATTCAAACCCGCCAGCTCAGGTGTATGTGGCTGGCACCTTAGCTGCTTGAGCCACAGGCGCCGAGCCAACACTTGGTAATTTATAAAGAATAGAGGTTTATTTAGCTCATTGATTCTGGAGGCTGGGAAGTTCAAGAGCATTGTGCTGGCACCTATTGAAGGCCCTCTTGGTGCATCATAACTTGGCAAGAGAGCAAGAGCAAGCCAGCCAGAGAGAGCCTGCTTTGATGGCAGAGCCACTTGTGCAATAATAAACCCACTTCTATTATTAGGCCCAGTGGGCCTAGGCTAAGACAGAAAGGTGTCAGGCCTAGGCTATAATGGAGAAATACCAGTTAACTCCTGGCAAATTTCTGGACTGCAAGCTTTTTTTTTTAAAAAAAAAAAAAGAAATAAGTCTAGTTCACTCCCATGATAAATGAGAAAGTACTAATTAAATTCTTGCTTCTAGTTCACTCCAAGATTATTGCTTGGCTAATTCCCTGGGAAACAGATCAGGAGGTACCAACTGTTCCTGAACTGACTTTTAAACAATACCAGGTGGGGAAAATACTGAAACTAAGATGTATAGGGGGAGAGTACTAAAACTAAAATGTATAAGGGCAAAATATTAAAACAAAGATGTATGATGTATGACTAACTAACTGCAAAATTCTGCTTCTGTACAAATGCTTGCTTACTACCTTACCCAGATGCACCTGAACAGCCTGTGTGCTAACCAGGATGCAGACCAAGCCTTAAAAACCTGACCCCTTAAGCACTTGGGGCTGCTCTCAGAAACCCCACGTTGGGACACTGAGGCAGTCACTGGCCAGCTCTTCAATAAAGGGACTCTGCTATGAATTTGGCTTGGTTTAGCAGTGTGGTCTTTGTGGAACTCCTGGACACAACACTATAATAGTGAAATTAATTCATACATGAGGGCAGAAGATAAAGTTTCCAATAAATGAACTTTGGGGGGCCATATTCAAACCATAGTACCACCCCTCTGCCAACAAAAAGGAATGTAGAACTGAACACTTAACAATGCAAAGAGATTTTGTTGACTCAAGTGAATTTGTGAAAGAAATTAGTTGTGCCTAAATGAGATGACAAAATTTAAGTAAAGTTGTTATCTAACAAGTTGGGTATCATTAGCTGAAGAAAATGGCCTTAAAGATCCAGGATGCATGAGGCAGGACTCATCTTTAAAAAAGGGCTAAGAGTGTTCATTTGTGACTCAGCATTGTCTTGGAATATGCAGCCCCCTACATCTTTAGTCTTGGCCTCAAATTTCTGACCTTTAAGTAACTATTCTGTGGTTCTAAATTTAATCCAGTAAACTTGACCTACCTGCATCAGTAAATTTGCTTTCCAGAGGTGTGTAAGTGCCTGTATAAGTTAAAATGTTTGAAGGGATTCTCACAGATTAGACTTCAGTTTGGAAAGTAAAAGTTTAGACTTATGACTTTAAGAGGTCTAAGAGCATTTGATAAATGTCGGTAAATGTTGATTTATGAGACTTACAGCGCTGACTAAAAGTTTAGAAAGATTTTGCCTATCAGGTTGTTTGTCCTGTCAGGTATTTAAAATACTTTAAAATATGTTTATTAAATGCTTCATAGTGTAAGATACTGGGAAATTTAACTTTTTCTAAAAAGTGAAGGTATAGCATAGGGTTTAAAAGCATGTACTCTGGAACCAAACAATCTATGGTCAGTAAACTATGGCCTCCTACTTGTTTTTGCACAGTATGAAGGCTAAGAATGGTTTGACATTTTAAAATGGTTGAATATAAATCAGAAGAATACTTTATAATGTGAAAATTATAGGAAATTCAAATTTCAGTGCTCATAAAAAGTCTTTTTGGAACACAGCCACTCTCATTTGTTTACGTATGGTCTATGGCTGCTTTTGTGCTACATCAATGGAGTTGACTAATTGTGACAGAGACTGTATGGACTGCAAAGCCCCAAATATTTACTGTTTAGCCCTTTACAGACATAGTTCCTAGGTCCAAATCCCAGCCTTGCTGTTTATTCATATAACCTAGGCCAAATCACTCCAATTCTCTTGCCTCAGTTTCCTCCTCTGTAAAATGGAGATGTTATTAGTTGCTAATAAATAGTTATTATGTGGAGTAAACAAATCAACATCTGAAAAGTACTTAAAAGAATGCCTAGCACACAGTCAATGCAAGTGTGTCTAAATATTGGAGAAATTCAACCTGTTAAAGTGAAGTAAGACATTTAGTATAAAGAAGTAACACTATTATTTTATAAAAATTACTACTTTATGAAAAGAATAAGAATTTAAATTTGAATATGGATTAACAAGATCTAGGATTTAAAATCTGAAACTGAATATTAAACATCCAAGTAACTTGATTAGCCCTTTCCCAGCATGTCTGGGATGGTGGGCCTGCCTCTGTAAAGAATTCTATGGTTGGGGTGGTGCCTGTGGCTCAAAAGGGTAGGGCGCCAGCCCCATATGCTGGAGGTGGCGGGTTCGAACCCAGCTCTGGCCAGAAACTGCAAAAAAAAAAAAAAAAAAGGAATTCTATGGCTTAGGTGATCAAAGCTCTTGGTTTCTCTAAGACTAGGAGGTAGGTATCTGGAGTTATACCTGGATTGTATTTTGACCTCTTTGCTGTCTGATTTTGGGCAAGTCTTACCACCTGTAAGATGGGGCGAGTAATCCCTATTTTATAAAGATATTATGAAGATTAAAAGCACTAATGTACATAGTGCCTGGATTTTAGTGAGTATTCAATAAACACTTTATTATGATTAATATTTTCTCAAGATTCGTGTACATATTGAGTTACTGCTAATCAGTTGTTTTGTTTTTTTTGTTTTTGGCTGGGGCTGAGTTTGAACCCACCACCTCTGGCATATGGGACTGGCACCCTACCCTTTTGAGCCACAGGTGCGGGCCCTGCTAATCAGTTGTTAAATCTCAGCAGAGCAGAAGGTGGTTATGTGTGTGGTGTGGTTTGAGTGGTACTGGAAAATCCACTCTGGTTGCTTGATGTTCTCAAATTCTATTACCTGTATAGCTCAGCTCACAGCAACCTCCAACTCCTGGGCTTAGGCCATTTTCCTGCCTCAGCCTCCTGAGTAGCTGGGACTACAAGGTGCCCACCACAACGCCCGGCTATTTTTTTGTTGCAGTTTGGCCGGGTTTGAACCCGCCATCCTCGGTATATGGGGCTGGCGCCCTACTCACTGAGCCACAGGCGCCGCCTGGGATCCTCTTTTTTAAAGTATGCACCTTCCAGAGGGCATCCATTTCTCACTGGTATGTTTTAGTTTATCAGGTACTAGGTAATTTTCTTAGGATGGCAGTCTGAGAACAGTGGACACCCAAGGGCTGCAGTTTGTATACTGCAGAAGAAAGAGGGCAGTGAGATCAGGGCCTCTGCAAGATAGTGAAAAGGTTAAGGAAAAAGAGAAATGTTGCGCCTTCCTACCCGCCTTGCCATTTTGTTCTCCTGAGGTGTCAGAGTGCTTCTCTACTTTCCCAGGGATGACTTTACACAGCCATTCTCAGTGGTCCTCTGGGGCCTCCATCTGTGTGCCGGCACAGGTAGGAAATAAGCCTGGCCCAGGGCGCCACCTGCTGCCTGCTTCCTTTTGTGCACCTTGGGCAGGAATGGCACTTCTCTGGCAACACTCTTCTTCACACCTATCAGTAGTCCTGAGTCCCTCCTGTCCTTCTCCATGACACTAGAACTCTAGTCTTGAAGCCAGTGGAGATATCAGGGTTTGTTTCCTAGTGACCTTGAGGTTTGACAGCAGAACCAATTATCTGGCAGATGGTGGGGCCTGTGCCTTAGGCTTTTCTTACTTGCGATTAAAAGTTATTTCTTGCATCATGTTTGTGGTTTCCCTACCTGGAGTGGTGGAATAAGGCCACTATGGTGACCTTGACCAGTGGTGAGGCAAGAAGGAGAGGAGAGAAGTGACTCACTGTGCACTTTCCCTGTATGTTACCAGCTTGATTTTTCACGATGCGTTCGACACTATTTTAGTCTCCGGAATTTGTCATCATCCAGTGCTATTTTCCCTGTTACGCAGAAAGGAAGAGGGTTTGGGGCAGGACTTTGTCTCCATGGAGATTGTGACGCTGCCCTGCTAGGGGCTATTTGGAATGGGGACAGGCCTAGGAGGCTGGAGAAGGCTGGGGATTTGACTCCCTGAGCCCCTTGTCTTAGGGCCTTCCTCTTTCTTGGCCTTGGGAACATTGGCCAGCCCCATTTTGAAGGGGGAAACTGAGGCCCAGAGAGGGCAGGAAATCTCCTTGGGTCACAATGCGCCTCCATGGAAGACCCAGGATGAACTGAACCCAGGATCTCGCGCTCTCGGCTCTTCCCCAAATCCCGGTAAGTCCTTAGCTTCATTCCTCTTTGAGCTAGTTGTGAAAAAAATCCTAGTGTTCGTTACCCTTCTGAAGGCTCCCAGAGCGGACTCTCCAAGACTTTCCCTTTAAGGAGACCTTCCCCTTTAAGGCTCACGGCTCCTCCCATGACGCTGCGTCGCAGTCTTAAGGCCACGCCCCTTCAAACAGCTTCCGCAGGACCTTGACCACGGAGGGGCGGTCACGTCCCCTTTAAGCCTGAGCCCCGCCCCTGACTCCCCGCCCCCTACCTTGCCCTCCCCCTCCGGCCCGCACCTGGTGCCCGGGAGGGTAGTGCGGCACGACGCTTGGAGGTGAGCACCGGACTCCGAAGGGGCGCGTGGATACGTCCATGGTCTCTCCTTGCCCTTGCGGGGGCCCCCGCGGGTCCTGGGGGCGGGGCTGGAGCGGCCGGCGGGTGGGGTCGGGGAGATGGTGTGGTCGAGAGGGCTGCAGGGCTGGCTGGAACCGGGCTGAACTGGGGGGAGGGGCTCAGGTGATTTAGGGGGCGGGATGTCCCCCAGCTCTGCCCACCGCAAAATAGGGATGCGGGGGATTGGGCTTACCTCAGGCGGCGTTTTCAGTCTCCCTTGCCTCCAGTGCCCGGGTACTGCCCAGTTGTTGAAGTGTCTAAGCTTTCCTTGTAGCCCTCTGGGGTCCAGGCCCCTTTATGCCGGTCCCATCCCTGACGCTGTTGTCGTGGAGGACTGTGGAGAACGCCCAGGCTGAAAGCGGTGGTCATTGAGGGGGGCGGCAGGAGAGACTCCTGGCAGAGGTGGGGGCCACAGCAAAAGGCAGAAGTGGAGGGTGTTCCGTTGTCGGTTACCTGGCCTGTGTGGGACAGATGTCTGTCAATCTCTCCCACACAGGCTGAGTTGTAGGTTGGGGAAGTGTCGGGCTTTGGGACCTCAGGTCCAAACCTCCTCTGTCCATCAGAGAGCTGGTGGTCACCATGGCAATGCGTGAGCTTGTGGAGGCTGAATGTGGGGGTGCCAACCCGCTCATGAAGCTGGCCGGCCACTTCACCCAGGACAAGGCCCTTCGGCAGGAGGGATTGAGGCCTGGCCCCTGGCCTCCGGGAACCCCTGCTTCTGAAGCAGTGAGTATTCTTGGGGTGGAAAGACCAAGCTGTGGTCTGGGATGGCAGGTACATTTGTGTACCTTGGGGGTAACTGCTTTGTCTTGTAAATAATAGTAGTTACTACTTAATGAGCATTTACTAAACACTGGGCTAAGCACTATGCACCTTTAAATAGATAAAGGCGGCCATTTTATAGATGAAGAAACTGAGGCCTAGAGAAAGTTTGTGACTTGCCAGGGGTCAAATAAATGGTAGAGCTGGAATTTGATTCTATAGTATTTGGCTTGTGTACCTGTGATCTTCATCAGTGTACCATGTTGCCTCCTTGTCTTTCTCTTTTAGGTGTCCAAACCTTTGGGAGTAGCTTCTGAAGATGAGGTAAAAAATACTACTGTCTTTTCTCTAGCCCATTGTGTGTATTTTTTTTTTTTTTGGAGACAGTCTTATTTTGTCGCCCTCGGGAGAGTACTGTGCTGTCACTGCTCACAGCAACCTCAAACTCTTGAGCTTAAGCGATTCTCTTGCTTCAGCCTCCCAAGTAGCTGGGACTATAGGTGCCCACCACAGTGCCCAGCTGTTTTTTTTGTTGTAATTGTCATTGTTGTTTGGTAAGCCTGGGCTGGATGTGAACCCACCAACTATAGTGTATGTGGCTGGCGCCCTAGC